CGCCGGCTCGGGGCGTGGCACACTCAGGGGGTCTATCCGCAATTGGGTAATACTACAAGGGGTCTAGCCACAACAATAGATTTACAGGGGTTCTATCTGCAATTGGGAGATAGTCTGAGGGATCTATCCACGATCAACCCTATAAAAGAAATATATACATTTCTTACTTCCTCCAAACCACATGATTAAGGAACTCAATCAGAAGAAACATGTATATTACAGATAGTATTTTAAGTAATAAATGTTGTGGCACATTGAAAGTCAACTCACAGCAATCACGCACTGATATATTGATGCTGACACGGATATAAGATCACATCAAGAGAGAGCAGCTACAAGCCCAACAATACATTTAAGGAGGGATTTGGCGAAGAATTCAGAGAATACAAAAAATATGGAAATGGAACTTTGTTGAATTTGAAACAACAGTAAAGAACTGGATGTGCATCTTGTGGTAGGTTTTACCTTTTGGGAAGCTTTGCTGCTTCCTCGCATCTCAGCAGTTCCGCATAAAGGCCATCCAGTGTCAGCAATTCATCATGTGTACCCATTTCAACAAGTTGGCCCTCCTCCATAACTGCTATATAATCAGCATTGCGTATAAGGCCAAGCCGTCGAGCTATAATTATAGTTGACCGTCCCAACATGAGTATATCCAGTGCCTCCTGAACAGCTTTCTCCGCCTCAAAATCAAGCCCACCTGTGACCTCATCAAGTAAAAGAATAGATGGACTCGAAAGCACAGCTCGAGCAACAGAAAGCTTTATTTTCTGTTCTTCTGTTAGTGCTAAACCAGCCCTGCCAACCTGAGATGCATTAAATTAGATATAGATGAAATGGATTATATTATTAAAAAAACAGAATATAAAAACACAGGGACCGTGTCAGAGAATTTGCAATAATTCTGCTTCTACCTGGGTATCATATCCTTTTTCCAATGAGCTGATAAATGTATGTGCATGAGCTGTTTTTGCAGCCTCTTCTATCTGATCCCAGGTAGCAGATCTTCCATAAGCAATGTTATCTCTGATGCTCAAACTTAATAATGCTGGTTCTTGGGTCACCAGACCTATTTGGCTTCTTAACCATTCTAGCTTCAAGCTCTTTATATTCTCTCCATCCAAAAGGACTTCACCTGCAGCAAAAAATAAGAAAAAGCCATCCAACTAAGCAGTCAGTTGTACCATCTAGAGTGAAGAGAATATAAACATACAGTAGAAATGCAAAGAAGAGAAGCGGAATAGAAAAAGGTACCCAAAGTAGGATCATAAAAGCGCTCCATGAGAGGAATTATGCTGCTTTTCCCGGAACCATTCCTGCCAACAAGTGCCACAGTTTTTCTAGCAGGTACAGTCAGGTAGAAACCACTTAGTATTGGGATTTCAGGTCGAGATAGGTAGCTGAAATATACATTCCGAAATTCAATGTTCCCTTGCACTGAAAGTAAGGTATTCCCCTCCTGATTCACAGTTGATGTTGAACGACTTATCATCTCATAAAGTCTATAAGCAGCAATTCTACCTTGCTCAAATGAATAGAAGTTTGTGGCTGCTTGATTTAATCCACTGCGACATATAGAAAATGTAAGCAAGGAAAATGTGCACAGAGATACATAATCATGCTCTGAAGTTAAAGATGCTTACAGCCCACTCAAAATCACTGCAAATAGTGCTGTGATAATTTCACCACCATTAGCTTTACCATGTGAAATCAGAATCCTTCCAACCCAAAGTTGTAGTGCACAAGAGCATATAGCGAGTCCATATGTGAATCCAAGTCCAAGCCCTTGCACAAGACTGATCAATATCCCATAGCGCAACGTTGCTTGAAGAGAAGTAGCATAAGAATATTTCGCTAAAGTCTCATTCGTAAAGGCATACAGAGTTCTAATGTAAGAGATAGCCTGAAAAGGAGAAAGATAGAACCATTGCACTTTATGTCACAAAGTTACACGGTTTAAAAGAAATATAGACCAAAAAAATGCAACTGTGTGCTGTTGCTATTCGATTTGTAACCAAATTTTGTAACATAAAGCAATGCAAAGAATAAACATCAGAACTAATTTCCACCTGCTCAGAGAAATTTCTTGGAGCTAATTTCAATAAAAATGGTAACTTAGCTAACTAAGTTGTGTGGAGCCATGACTTGGATCTATTGGTACAAACACACAGCCTAAATTGATTCAGTTATAAAGATTTCTAATAACTTGAACTGAACATGATTAAACTAGATAATTTTCAACCCAAACTTAATATCGGTGGCATCACTTCAGCTAGACAATGTGAAGCTATTTGGACTTCGAGCGAATTAGGCTTGTTGTTTGATATGGTTACATCAGGCTTCATATGCTTATAACTCGTCAAATGATAAACATAATAACGCCATGAGCAAATCCCTGCTATCATTTAACTGACTCTATTACCTTTAGGGTTCTGCATATAGCAAGGTTCTGCTTACAGCAAATCTAGGACCAAAGCATCCAACCTATATAAATAACATTATGGACTTTAAGGACCATTGCTAGATTGTTTACTGAAATTGTAACAAAAAAATGACGTATTATGTATAATTGGATATACCTTCAGTTTTAGTAACATATCAATACTATATACAAAGATTTTTCATTTAAACAAATGTCATAGTTCAAAGAGAGCCCTTTGTCGGTTGGAGCACCCAAATTATTCTACCACGTCAGGATCATCAATGGTGAAGAAATGATATTAATAGCAAGTTGAGCTAGAAAAAACTCAAAAGTCTACCATGACCTAAGTATAATTGGTTAAGCCAGCCCATCGCGTTACATTAGCACTCAAGGTATTCCACCCACTCCTGTACATGAGCCAAGACAGAGAAAAACCTGATACAATGAATAGAGCATACATACAGTTCACAAGACAAAAACTGCAATTGGGAAAAAACTATAGATAAATGTACCCGATTTACAACTTTGACCAGGTAAATCTGCAAACCTCCTCATGTACACTCTTGGAAAACGCTGAGGCAGGTATCAACACTTACTTTGGGTTAAGTATAAAATTATGCAACTGTGCTAAGTTTTTAACCAAGCTTATAGCAGAAAATTGTGCAACTAATATCTGAAAAGCAAAAGGTCAAAGTAAACTTACAGAAAACATAACCATGGTCATTAATGGCTCTGATTTATAGGTTGTATGAAAATTTACATTGTTCTAGTTAGATATTTAACATGTAAAGTATTGAGTACGCCAAACAGCAACAGTGTCCATATTGAAAACACATACTGGGTGGAACATAGTGTGCAACACAAAATATAAATACCTTAAGATTGTTTCTTGGTGATCAAATTGCAAACAATCTGACAATTCAATGGATGCAAGATGGTGATCAAATTGCAAACAATCTGACAATTCAATGGATGCAAGATTTCGACCAATTACACTATTTCGAGGTTCAGAAAGATAATATGCAAGGCATAGGTAAGCACCTGTTCAGCTATGCTAGCCGCTTCCGCATACGCATCTTGGATGTTTTCTGCAAGTCTATGAAGGAATATATTTGAAATCCCTCCAGCAGCAACAATGAAAGGACCAGTGGCGAGAGTCAAAAGTGCAATCTGCCAACAATTGATCAACCCGATGATAAGACCACCAAAAAAGGTGGCCATGTTATGTATATAATTACCAACCTGTGACATCAAAGCCCCATTATCAATGACAAATTCAATAAATGAGACATTTAAGAACAGATCCCTAAAGGGAAATTTTGTAGTAAATAGGCTTCAGTAAGATTAATGTGCAAGATGTAGCAATTGTGCCGGACATACTTTCTCACTAAGAGCAGATTGAATGAGCAAGACATCACTCAGAACTTGACTGACAATATCTCCATTATTCCCATAAGTATCAAAAAAGCTCATGTCCTGGTTTAGCAGTACTTGGACGTATCTTGACCTAATCACTGCGGTTTGCCTCTCCCCAGTAAGAATCCAGCATGATACCTCTATCCAATTAACTTAAAAACTCAGTATCAAGTTCAAAAATATGAATGATTAATATGGTACAGGAATTTCACGATCAAACTTACCTATCCATCCAGCAGCAAAAACACCAGCAGCAATATATATGATGTATAAAGCATGCTGCAGCATTGACAAATAAAAATCAGTTGTGATAAGAGAACAACAACTTTTGCTGATTTCTGCGAGTGAGTTTAATATTACAAAGAATCTGATATTACAAGTTCGTTCTAATTAGAAATGTAAGCTCATTCTAATCAGAAAACTACTGCTATTTGTTATATAAGTGGACACCTCAAGAAGAAAAGCATGACGGCATAAGCTCCCATATGAAGTCATGAAACATGTTGCCACGAAAATATACTTCTTATGGGTGAAGCAATATGTTGCTCTCATGCACAAGAAAATGTGATGAAATTCTGAAACCAACATAGTGTCTTGGAAAGAACATTTGAAGGTATTGAATTGCTAAAAAGAGTTTCAATCAAACAAACCAAAAAAACCAAACAAATAAGATGAACAATAGTGATGTGGCAGAAATGAGATGTGCATGCAGAAGACAATGGCATACAGAAACTAGCAACAACTGAGTATAGAATTGAAGGCTTTAGAGCTAAATAAACTAAGGGCAAAGTGATGCAATCAACTCATGATCAATTAGGAACTCAAGAAAAATAGTTAACCAGGAGACCACAATGGAAGATAAAAGATCATGACAATAACAAATTGAGGAAATGAACCATGAAAGAGGACACCACCATCATCCGAAATGCACTGTGATAAGCAAAGCTAACTCTAGATGGTGATTGATTGGTGCGTATCCAAGGCCAGTTAGACAACAGAGAACTTAACAAGCAACGCAGCATGATCACAACAACAACAACAGTAGAGATCAATCCAAACCATTGGCCACTTCTGTGAAGGAAAGGCTCAAAAGCAAAACATGCACTTGCTTCATTCTTCAATTAGTCGGTGAATCACCCATGAAAATGCGGTCTTGATCAAAATCCCCTCTTCTAACTACAGATAAACCAACAAAATTCCTACCACTAGAAGAACCACAAAGCAAAAACTCAACGTTTTATCCCCCCTGAGTTCCCTAAAACCCAAAACTCGTCTCTTGGAACTTTTAAATTACAATTACAGTAGTAGAAAGCAATCCAATCCTTTGGCAATTTCTATGAACGAAAGATTAAAAGCAAAAAAAATATCCGAGTCATGCTAAGGGTAATAAGTAATCCATCCTTGCAAATGTGTCCTTCATCAAAATTCACTCTTCTAATTACAGACAAACCAAGAAACTCCCTACCGCTTAAGTTCAATAAAACCAAAAATCATCACAAAAACAATAACTAACTTTTTCTCGCACAACCATCCACAAAAAATGAATTTTTATAGGCAAAACTAACAAGCAATACAGCAAAATCACAATAACAGCAGTAGAGACCAATCCAAGTGGTAATTTCCATGAAGGAAAGACAACAATCTGAAGTTGAGTAAGCAAATCACCTGTTTGAACCTATGAAACAGCTCATCACTACGCCCATGTATCGGCGAATCCGAATTCTGCGAATCCAGCAAATTAATCGCCTGTCCAAAGAAATGCAAGTACACCACCAACGCCATCCC